CCCGCCCCTCCCAGGAATCTCTACGAATCTTGGATGTGAAGTAAATGCAGGGCCCTTGCGGACGCTCGGGGAGGGGGGAGAAACAGGCCTCCTGGAAGTTCTGGAAGGCCAGAAATGAGCCCATTTCCAGCCTCTGGAGGGGTTCCAGAATCCAGGGAGGCAGTTTTTGCCCTCCCAGAGGCTCGAGGAAATCCTCCGGAGCCCGGGGAGGGCGAAAATGCCCCCCCAAGCACCGTGGTGCAGGAGACCACCGGGCCACACCCACCATGGCCACGCCCACCCAGCAACCAGGCAGAGAACCCGTTGCTGAAATTTTTGAAGCCCACCCCATATGTAAGTGCATAACAGGATTCAAAGATAATGTAACAGAATAATACATGTAAGGGAATTAAATACACACTTGATTTCAAAAGCTATGGAAGTCATAAGTTCTGTTTCTTAACAGCGGATTTGCACAATTCCTCACAGGTAAGTGCAATACCTTATTTAACACAACAGGTTTAAATTGGTGTCTCTTTCTGCTTCTCTTTCAGCACTCTGGAAACTGTGTGGCTGATATTGACATTAGTGGGTCTCAACAGTTTACCTCCATTTCACAAATTTGCCAATTTAGCCAAGGTGAGTATATGTTTGAGTTAGAAGTCTGAAAAAAAATCGCCCCGTTCCCGACAATAATGGAGAAAATAAATAAGTGGCCAGATTTAAACCTGTGAGGGGGGTGGGGATCAGGAAAGGATGATACCACAGTACAGATAGTCCTCAACTTATGACCACAACGTGGCCCAAATTTTCTGTTGTTAGGTGAGTCATTTCTTAAGCGAGCGTTGCCCCATTTCTTGCCATAGTTGTTCATCACTGCCGGTGATAAGTTAGTAGCTTGGTTGTTAAGTGAAGACTTCCCCTTTGACTTTGCTTGTTCAGAAGGTCGCAAAAGGGGATCACATGATCCTAGGACACAGCCACGGTCATAAGTATGAACCAGTTCCCTAGCATCTGCACTTTGATAACATAATCATGAGGATGCTACAAAAGGTCTTAACTATGGAAAAATGGTCGCAAGTCACATTTTCCAGTGACGTTGTAGCTTTGAACCAGAGGTGGGTTCCCACCAGTTCGCACCAGTTCGGTAGAACCGGTTCGTCAAATCTACTGAACCNCCTAATTGAAAAGGAATTCCACTGAATTCAAAGGTGTTCGTATCCAAATAAATATTTGCATGCCTCTTTGTGTGTGTCTGTGTCTTTTTTTTGTGTATGTGTGTGTGCGAGACTGTATATGTGTACTTTACAATTGCAAATTATTCTCTGGAAATTTTACCCAAAGCATTTCTATCTTGCGTTTTTTTATTTATTTATTGTACAATCATGTTGGGCAATTCTCGAAGCCTTGATTAATTCTGGCAACAATTATTTCTCAAGCTTATTTCACAAAGCAATAAATGAGAAAATGAATTTGAAAATTAATCTATAAACAACGTTAGATTATCATTAAGTAAGCGTGAAGCTCCAAGGAAGCCCGGAACGGAGTATTTTGAGGGAAGGAAAAAGAAATTCTGAAAAATTGGGTGGTGTAAACTGTTAGAGGTTAAATTACAGAGTTGGTTTTGTTTTGTTCTGTTTCTTAAATGTTGCTCTATTGAAAGAAAATGATCGTAAAAAGGAAATGTATTCCTCGATTTTTTTTAAATTGTTATCCTGTACTGATCCAAACTTACAGACGTCGGTTTCAGAAGTAGTTCAAACAGTTAAAATCTCTGCAGAACAGTCCAGCAAAATTGCTTCTAGACAGTGCAGGTAAATATGAGAAAAGGTGAAGAGGCTTCCCTAGTGAAATCATTCCTATAAATAACTATTCCATCAGCAAAACTGAGGGTTTAATACTAAGAAGACCAAAGAGTTCATGAAACTGATAGGTAAGAGATTCAGTGAAATCAACAAGAGGCATTCCTTGAGAATACAGCTCTAATATTGGAGGTGAAAGGGTAATGGTTACACTCGAGCAAATCTTTTGGATTGTTTTTACTCCTAGTTGAGCATCTGAAGCACCTTTTCGACAAAACAATGGTAGTATATTTAACAGGTCTGATTCTTCCTCGTGTTGCTAACGATGCAAGTAATGAAAAAGTCTGAAGGAANTATCTGTGCTGGATTGCTGCCCAAGCTTGTCTGTGCCGGTTTGCTGCCAAGGACCTGTCTGTCTCTTAATTACATGCCGTAACTTATCTTTGGCTTGTAGTGTGTGTTGGTGTGGGACGAGGGGGGTCAGAACAGTATTCTATATCTCAGATCTATGGGTATATATAAGAACATCTATGGATGCTTAAGGAAAATGATTGCCACGAGAGAGAGGTAGATTCATCACAAAGTATCTGTTGCAAGGAAAGTGCCTAGTCACAAAATACCAATTGTTCAGAAAGCAGCTTTGTGACATTGCACCCTGAGAATCAGGCAGCCTAAAGGTTGAATAAATTATTACTATCTACCCCAGATGTTCATTCTCAACCCTTAGCTTGCTTCTGCCATTCTTAGGGTGGATTGCAGATATTTAGATTGGATATGTCATTTTTATCTACCTATTGAGTCCTCCCCAAGGACCCCAAAATAGGCAGATATTTAATGGTGCCAAAGGCATTGTCGCGGGATATAAGCTGCTCCAAGGAAAGCTGCCTTTTGCAATTGTCTGATGGAAATGTTGTCTATGCCGATGGTGTTCAAGTGATGCTTTGATGTTTTGGGATTGCACCCAAGGACCCTAATACTATCGGTGCCGTAATGCTTCCTTTTGTCATAGTCGTTCTACTTCTATTTGCAGATCTTCGAATTTTGTGGTTTTCTCCAGGTTTTTGTCTCCTATTTTGCTGTATCCAGGCGCAGCAACCTGCATTATCCTGACTTTTTTTGGTCTTTCATATTCACCGTTGTTAAGTTTGGGGTATTGTGTGGCAGGTACTTGTCTGTTTGAATTCTAAACTCCCTGAGTGGTTTAGCTTTTTCTTACTTTGTCTATTTTGTGTTCCCGCCAGTTGTTTCTTGCTGGCAAATCTTATTTCCTGAAAATATTCCAATGCACACCAATGCATGATTCTTTGTCATCCATCCAATTATTGTTCTGGTTTATCTAGGGTTAGAAGTTCTGCTTCCATTTGAGAAGAAGCAATGAGATGACATGGAACAACTTCATAAATGAGATGAAACAATTTCATAAATTGGATAGGGAAGAGAGGGGAGAGGGAGAGAGGGAGGGAGAGGAGAGGAGAGGAGTTTCGAGTTTAATGAAATTTGTATGCCGCCCACTCCCATTGGGACTCTGGGCGGCTCACAAGCAAGATAAAAAAGCTTATTTAAAAATTATAAGATAAAAAATACAATATTAAAATTGACACACCATACAACCAATCCAGTGGGGCTGGATATAATCAACAGCCCCAGGCCTGCCGGAACAGCCAGGTCTTAGCGGCTTTACGAAAGGCCGCGATAGTGGTAAGGCTCCAGATTTCTACGGGTAGTTCATTCCACAGGGCCGGCGCAACAACAGAGAAGGCCCTCCCCTGAGGAGCCGCCAGCCGGCATTGTCCAGTCAACGGCACCCGGAGGAGGCCCAACCTGTGTGATCTTGTTGGCCATTGGGAGGTATGTGGCAGGAGGCAGTCTCTCAGGTAGCCAGGTCCTAAACCATGTTGGGAGGGGGAGGGAGAGGGGAGGGA